AAACTATTGTCTGCCCGAACTGCCACAGACAGAAGGGTATAGTTTCTCCAAGAAGCAGAAATTATACTTACCTGTTGAACACTGCTATAAACCTGTAAAAGATCCCTGTAGCCGTGTCATTGTTATAGTACTGCTGTTAAGAAGGTCATGATACTGTAACATTTGATATCTTCTGGCGAAAAACATTTTAAAACCATTACCGGACAACATTATCCTGACCCCTCTTAATTAATAGCTGTTTACCAGAGGATAGTTATCCCGGATTGAATTTGAGTATTGCGGACGACAACCCCGCCTTGGTTTATTCTAGCTTGTGCCTAGACGATATTATCTTAGGATGTTGACAGATTCCCCACAAGCCAAAGTGTAAGCGTAAGGATCTAACCTTGAGAAACAATTGACGGATTCTCCACGAGCCAAAGTATAGGCGTAAGGATCCTACCCCAAGAAACATTATTATAATTATCTTTTCTATTTTAGCCAGACTATAGGCTTTGGACTTTACTTTATGACTGATAGAGTTACTCAACTCCACAACAAATATATTGAAAACCACGAACATGAACATAGCCAAAACCCTGCTCTTCCTTATACAACTTTACAAGCCTTAAACCCAGATCTCTCTTGCTAAGCTTGCTTCCCACCACCAAGAGCCAGTCCTCGCACTTTCCATCGAAGTAATTTTGGAAGATTTTGGAATTGGTATTCTAACACCTATTCTGCTTATTCTTATACCTCCCGAACTACTACAAATTTTGGACATCTAACTATAACCCGAGAGCGACCCTCTATCTGCACCTTCATCCGAGATATTATTTTTAGTTACCAATACAATCAAGATATTAGAAACCCAAGAGAAATTGCTCTTGCATTACTTACTAAATATACACACCTCACTACCTTACCTACTATCGACTTCAAGTACCAAAACGTCTTTGACCACTACATTAACTTAGCTTATAGTTTTGGATACGAAGACCCAGGACAATACAAAAGATACTTTGGAAATCTAGAACCCTTCATACAACATCAACCAGACGAAGATTATAGTTTTAGCTACCGAGACCAACGAGTTATCCTAAGAACCCCATCTCCTCCTAGTTTACTCTCATACCAAGACGAAACAGATAACTCTTATTATCAACCTCTTTAATGTTCTCCTCGAAATACATTTGAAATACCTCAAGGACAATTTATTGAAGTAGACCTTGTCCCTCTCCCAGAAGTGCATATAGAAGAACATCCCTTAGAATGAGAAGAGGCTCCACCTCCAGGAAATCCAGATCAAGAAAATAATTCTGACTCTGATAATACTGTCCAAGAAATCTTTACCCTAACTGAAACCTTTGAATTATCAGAAAACCACCAAGAACAACTTAACAATAACTTACCTTTACCTGAAGCAAATCTACCACCATCAGAACAACTCAGAAAAACCTATTACCCCCTCCAAAACAACCTGAAGTTAACCTACTACCACTACAACCACCTGTAATACCTCCACCTGTAGTACCGCCTGTAAACATGGTTGAAGCTGCTTTCAACAATGCTGCTCAAGCTATGACTGACATAGCCAATACTCTTGCGCCTGGTGAAGAAAAGTCCCTCCTCAGAATTGATTTCTTTACTGCTGATAGAAAACAAGACCCTGTAGAATGGTTAGAAGAATTTGAACAAGCTGCTATTACTAATAACTGGAGTGCTGCTCGACAACTTGCTCTTGCCCCAGCCTATATGAAAGAGATTGCTGCTGAATGGTTCTGAGGTCTTAACCCAGTACCTAATGCTTTCAAGAACGCACACGATGTAGACCGAAGCTTCTACCATCTCTTCAAAACTAAGTTCAGCTCCACCAATCAAAAGATCAAATGGCAAAAACAATTCTTTGATATTAAGCAAGAAACAGACTCAGTCGATGCCTATATAATACGGTTCAAGAAATTACAAGCCCGTGTAGACCCAGAAGATGCTTTTCCTGATGATTTCATTCTTCAACTTTTTATTCAAGGACTTCGACCCGAATATGCTATTGAAGTTTAAGCTGGAGAACCTGCTAACTTAACTGCTACTATTGATGCTGCTCATAATTAAGAAAATGACCGACTTATATCCTCACCTATTACAGACACAGACCAAGCTATCAAACAACTAACTGACCAGATAGCTCAACTTAGTATTAACCTCGCTTAACAGAAACCTGCATTTACTTCTGTACATTATGCTGAAATCCCTACAACTGCTAATAGAATCAGACAACCATCTATCTGCCATTATTGTGACGTACTGGACATTTCGTTGCCCAATGTCGTACTAAACAAAAGGATCAATCACGATCACGAGACAGAAGCTGAGATCATTATAGTAATTGAAAAAATGATCGATCTAGAAGCTGAGACAAAAATTACTCCAGATCGTTTGACCGAAGTAGATCTAAAGATAGGAATAGATTCAGAAGCCGTGATAGTTATCCTCGATATAGAGATTATTCTTGAGAATGAGATAGCTACTACTCCTATGCTGACAACTTTAGACGATCCTCCAATCGCTCATCTTCTCCTTACCACCATAATGTCAACTATCTCGACCAAAACTCTAAATCCTCATCACCTATAAACCAAAAAAAATGGTAAACCCTACTAGACAACCTCTCCATCCGAAGTGCTCTCTCTGCCCACTTAAGCCAGAAAGCGAAATCCCTTGCCGTCACTCCTGAACCAACTACTACTCCTGTCAAATACAATATCAAAATTAGAAACAGACCCTACCAAGCTATTGTAGATAGCGGAGCATCTATTAGTATGATTGCTCATAAAGTAGTCCAAGAACTAGGACTTAAAATCGAACAAGCCTCGACTAGCCTTATCATCTCTGCCACTAAAACTTCTTCTCGACCCCTAGGAATTATTCGAGATCTGCCTATTCAGATCGAAGGAGCAACTATCCCTATTACTGTTGAAATAGTTGCTGCTACTTCTTATGCCTTACTTCTTGGAAATGACTGGTCCAAGAAAGTTGAAACCAGTCATATGTGCGGATTCTTGAAGTAACTGTTTATTTTGACGCACCTCAAAAAGTAGATTACACAATTTAAGGTGTGTCAGCTAGTTGACAACCAATAAAATTAGAGTAAAATCAAACACATAATTACCCTATTATCGTCCTGAAGCGATATTTTAAAACATGTCATTTCGAAAGAAATGATTTTGAAAAACCGATGTATACTATAATTTTAATTGATCAAAATAGTAGTGATAAAAAAAAATTATAGTGTATATCGGTATTTTAAAACCAGCTCTTTCGAAATGACATGTCTTAAAATAATGCCCCGGGGTGATAGTACGTTAATAGTATTTATTTATATGATTCCTATTCTACCACATGTACTTTATAATAAGACACTATAGTATTTAATTATAACTACGCTTAGTATGGACACATTATTCAATATTCTCTTAGCTAACTATAACAATATGAGGGCTCCTCTTTTTTTCTTTAATTAGTATAGAAACTAAAAATCGCTTAGTAATGAACTAAGCAATTTATGTACTATTTATTCTTTTAAAGAGAGCTTTGTAGAATCATCGCCGCCTAAATATCTATTTATAATATCAGAAAATTTCTAATCTCTTAACATTAACATAGCCATATTTATGTGAACAGTTTGGTGCAAGGATTTTATTTCTTATGTATTAATTTATTTTTTATTTAAAAAAGAAAGATAATTATGCACATATATAAAAAAAGTATAAAATACGTGTATAATTCCCAGTATAAGGCCATGCAAATTAATTAATTGCTTTTCATAACCGGCCGGGTCAAAATTTAAAAAATTTTATAAAATTTTATACTGTATATGAAATTTTTTTTAAAAAAATCCGGCCAGTCTGTTTAAAAGTTTCATGTTATGAAAACCAAGATATTATATTTATTTCTAAAAATATACCTATACAAATGTTATTAATAAAAAAAATCATAATAATTTAACAATAATAAGTAGAGTATGTCTGACCATAAATATTCCATTATGTGGAAATAGTATGACGATATATAGATCTAAGCAAATATATTCGGATATCACATCGTACAAAGAGATAGGATGAATGGAATTGTCTTCTTTCAAAGATTTCATAAAAAAACATCTTCATCCTTTTTAATTCTAGCTCCATTTTTATAGCAATGACCCATTTCATATGTTCTTTATCAGATTCTATCTCAGCAGATTTTTGTAAATAAATAAATGCTTTAAGTTCTTTTTTTTCAACACCAAGATCATAATAATCGACCAAATTCGCTTTAAGAACATAACCTGTTTTGACGGATTGTTGAGAGTGAATTACTGTTTTATTTCTATCTTTTTTAATCATAAATCCATTTTGATAACATGCATTAGCTTGAGATGTTCTATTAAAATTCCCAAAATCAGCAGGTTTTTGATAAGAAACAAATAGCTTGCGTTCATCCTTTTCAACTTAAATATACCATTTATGTGAGATGGCAAAAAATAAATTAATGTTGATTTTTTGAAATAAATTAATAATAGTATCATACCATTTGTCATTCTCATAATATGTCTAGTCCAAGTCAAAAGACCTTTAACCCAGAGCTCAAACAATTTCCACTTAAAGAAAAAAACTCAGATATGTAAACGCAAATATGTGTACTATTAAATGCAGTTTAGAATGTAGAATACCTGAACTGGTAAATCTTTCGCATCTAATCTTGTAAAGTAACATATTAAAATAATGTTCTTGAATTCAAAAAAGCGAATATACATAATAATAAATCGATTATAAGAATATAAATACTTTCGATATAAGATCTTTCTAAAAAAAAAAAAAAAAAACCCCCAGATTCTATATAATGAAGACGATCATATGATTTAAATCTTAGTAAAAATTACATATAATTTTGTTACACGAATAAAATACCGTCGTTAGTATCCAGATCTTACTAAAAACTGAGTTATATACCTTTAGGTATTCAGCTAAGAATGATCAAGAAATATCTGTGAACAGAGATGGTAATTGGACAAATTGGACATTTAAAAACTATGTGAATTAGACATTTGGACATATAAAACTCTATGACCAATTCAAGCCAAAATAATTGAACATGTAACCATTACCATCACTGTCTATAAATAGCCATGTATATTAACATCTAACCAGGGCCCTATATAATTTTTATATTTTTGAGGTTTTTCTTTTAGTATATCATAGAATCATTATAGAAAGATATTAAAGTAGTATATTGATTAATGAAACTTACTTGTTGGCCACTTTTTTTATAAATTTTGACCCTCTATATTAAATAAAATTGATTATTTCACTTCTAGACCAAAAATGTTTCAATATATCGTTATTTTGCTATATTATTGCGACTTACTTTTTTTTTTTTACTATCGAATATTGCAATGTGAAAACTAGTTACGACATTCAGTAATTTACCTGATATTTATGATATTAATAACATGTAGCGGCTAAATAATATTTACAATCTTAGACCAGATATTTGAATCTTAAATCTTACGATCTAGAGAAGAGGTATATGAGTTAACATCCTTAAACGATAGACCTTTTATAAAAGATAATGTGTGGATGATTATGCTGAAAAATTTTCATATCTTATTATAAAATTTTAGGGCCTTTTTTGTGTTCTTTTTTTTATAGTTAGGTTAATACTAGTATTAAATAATAAAAAAGTATTTGTGAATTTTAGTAGGTTTTATAGATTTAAAAAGAGACACCAATTTTCAGCATAATTCCTACATAATGTATTTGGATCATCTTTATAAGATCTAAATATCACGGACAGAAGTTAAACGCATTAGTTGCGTTAAATCTTTATATGGTAGCCAAGAACTTCCAATCTGACAAAAAAAATCTTAATATCTCATTTTTGATGATTATTATCAATGAAACCATTTTTACACAATTCTTGTAGTTCATGATGAATTGGATTTAAAGCGGCTTTAAGGGATATATTTTTCTGTTCCGGAAAACAAAAGAAATTGAATAGTTGAACCATTTTTTATCTATCTGTAAAAGTAGGTAAGGTCCAGTCATTTATAAACTTATAAAAATCTCTTTATAAATGATTAATACTTCTTGCGTGTCAAAATTGAAATAAAGATTTTCTCTTTATCCCCTCCAATTAGGATGTACGACATTGACTTTTGATAAATTGAAAATCAAAATTTTGGGTTATTTAAATATTGAAATACAACTTAAAGATGTACAATACTAACCATTGATAAAATTTCAAAATTTTAGTTGATTATCTAAATACTAAAACAAACATCATGTGATTTGATGTAACAAATGTTGTACAAATTTATAATTTAAAAATTGTATAAAAAAGAAAATTAGTTGAATGCAATTTGTTGAGCAACGTTATCGCTACAATGTCTACAATGTCTCTTCTCTAACTAAAGTAATTGTTGAGTATTTTTTTTTTGTTTAAAAATGAAAATACTACTTACAAATATAGTGCCACATTATTAATAAAAATTTTTATTACTAAAAAAATAATTATATTTTAGATGTTCTTGTAATGGAACTTAAATCAACTGGGGAAAGAAAATCTCAACATATGAGAGTGTTAAATAAACATTAACTGAAAAAAAAATCAAAAAAAAAATCAAAACTAGTTGTGCTATTTTAATATTTTAGCACAATATATGCTATATATATGTGTAACAAATAAAAAAATTTCAATTACGTACGTACGTACATTAGCGCTAGTATGTACAGGTTCTTAATTAAACAATCTTAAACATGCCAAAAAGTGTAACAAGAAAGAAACTTGAAGGAACAATAAACCATAATTATCCACATGAGAAGTTAGTTCTTTGGAAAAGTAAAAATGCTAATTATAATTACACGATTATAAATTTAGATACACTTCCCTCAAAACTAAATCTTAAATATACACAGAATCCTGGTGTATACCTTATTCCTAATAATTATGAAATAGAAACTTTTTGAGGATGTAACGAAAAAAATCATATTCAAGCATCTATCAATTATGTTGAAAACATTCCACATTTTACAATTAAATAGATATGCTATGAACAATATCATATAGTAAATTCACCAATTTCACCTTCTAATGCATCTAAAAAATATTGTAATGTAAGTTTATAACTATTTTATAAAATATAACTTAGATACATGCATATATAAAATAATAATGTAAATTTTAAAGATACAATATTCAGAAAGAAAAACAGCACTTTCTGGAATACTTGTTTTTGGATTACAGCTATATGAAGAACTAACTAAGACTATTCCAAAAACAAATCATTTGAAATATATTAAACCTCTTAGTGATCTTGGTAATTGCTCACATAGAAATAGAACTAAGAGGGCTGCTGAAATTTTATTCAACGAATTTGAGAATAAAAAAAATAAAATTTGGCATTTTAAAGATAATCCTAAACTTAAAGAAATAATTTTAGAAGCTGATGAACAACCGTGGATAGTAAAGTTTGACGAAAACCAACAGTTAGAAAAAATAAAGCCACAAAAAATAATTCAGGCCATGGATCAGTCTAAAATTTCACAGAATGGATATAGAACGCTAACAACCACTTCACAAGATCTACCAAAAGAATGGTTAATTAGTAAAGAGAGACATAATATTAATGAAATTATGCAAAAGCATATTCTATTATTAGCATATAATATGAAAACACATATACAAAGCAATGACTCTGACAGTGACTCTGACAGTGACTCTGACAGTGACTCTAACAGTGAAGAAGAAATTGCAACTACATTAGAAAAGGGAGGGTATCATAGTATATCTTCAATTCTTCAATTTCTTTTATCCAAACTTGTGGAAAATAAAGTTCTTAATCATGAAGCTCCTACAATATACCTGCGAATCTCAGGTGATGGAAGAAACATTGGGAAGAAAATAAAACATGTGATGCTAACATTAGCAATCCTTAATGATCAAAAAAATCTTTCAAAACCAGAAAAGCACTATTCAATTTCTTTGTTTTCCGGAACAGAAAAGTATACTTTCCTTAAAGCTGCTTTAAAACCAATTCATAATGAACTATAAAAATTGTATAAAAATGGTTTCACTGATAATAATCATCAAAAATGAGATATTGAAATATTTTTTTCGTCAGATTGGAAGTTCTTGGCTATCATATTAGGATTTAATGCAGCTAACGTGTTTAACTTCTGCCCGTGGTGTCTATGTACGAAAGATTTGATAGGTGATTTAAATCAAGATTGGACAATAACGAAAGAGATGGATAAAATTAAAGAAAATTATCAAAGTTACCCAGGCTATATTCATTCACCTATATTGAACATAATTCCAATGACTAATTACGTAGTAGATCAACTTCATTTGATGTTGCAAATTACCGACCGCTTGTAGGAGTTGGCTTTAAGTGAATGCAAAAATAATGGTCACTTTATAGATAAAATGAGAAAGTTGATATGTGAGGAAATAAGTGCTATTGGAGTAAAATTTAATTTTGGCAGGATCAAGAAACCAAATTATGGAAATTTATCTCTTTGATGGGTCCAGACAAACTAAAAGTAATAGAAAATTTTAATTTGAGTATAATGTTACTTCCTAAACGTGCAACAAAAATTCGAGAACTTTGGTCAAAATTTCACGAACTCTATAAAATGTTGGGTTATAAAATTTCAGGAGATGTATTCCGTAACAAAGCGCGTGAATGGTTAAATATGTTTTTAACTCCATTACAAAAAATTTCTGGTATGATTATTAAAGGTCTATATACGCCAAGTGACATGACCTCTTATATGCATGTTCTTATATACCATGTTCCAGAATTTCTCAACATTCATTCACATTGGGGACTTAGTTCATTTTTTTGTCAACCAGTTAAGAAAAAAAATCATCAACACATATCTTTTTTTTTTCAAAAACTTTAAAAGATGGTGGGGAAAAGCATTTGCAAAAATCAGCTATACTGAAAATATTAGAAATGGAAAACAGAGTACTTTATTTTTAGCGGTATGGTGAATCATTAGCATTACCTAAACATCAAAAACTTCATATTAGTTTTGACGAAAATCAAGAACTTACCGAAGTTTAGAAACTATACGTTATTGTAATTAGTGTTAAATTCTATATTAGCACTTTCTGAGAATTAATCAATTTTTAAGAACATTGTTATTAAAATATGTTCTTGACAAATTTTTTGATATTAAAACTTTTCTACGCATATAAAATTTTTAGCGAACATTAAAAGACACTTTGAAATATACAGTAAAATTAAATTTGAATTTAAACACTAGTCGCAATAAAAATGTAAAATCATAGATAGCGAATAAAGAATTAAAATGCTAATCACTTAAATATTAGCACTCTAAAAATTTTTTATTAACTTTACATTTTACCTTTCAAATAATAACAGTATCCCATTATTACTTCACAAATGTCTGTGGTGAATTAAATATATATATATAAATCTTATATATATTTCAATTTTGGTTGTTAAAGCGAATTGATATCTCTTATTAGGTTAGAATGTATTTGAGCAGTTTATAAAATACCTAATTCTATTTCCCTCAAGATAAAATTATTTCTATAAATATAAAGAAATGATATAAACTGATCATATATATAAAATTATAAGCACACACTAAATAACTATGAAAAAATGACTTTTTTGAAAATTAATTACTTTAATATGAGTACTATGGTATCAAGACCAACATAAATTATAGTAAATATGGAATGAATTGAGACGCTCATAAATTCGTAAGAAGAGTCTGTGCCTATTAAACAATATTTAGATACATTAATTATAAGATTTTAAGCATATATGTTAGTACATAAGAAATAAACCAATATCGGCTAGGTTTACCTCATCTAAAATAATATTCAAGACAAAAATTATAACTACTTTTGTTTTGAAAAATTAATTGAAATCATCTTATTTTTTGGCTGTAATTACCTTTCATAACATCAAGAACCATCTTGTAATGGAGACAGAGTTAATAAAATTATTCTATAATAAATAATATGCCTTCAATCAAATTATTAATTAAAAATGTTCGAACAACTAAGCTTACTTTATTTTTCTCCTTACTGGAAAATTCTCACAAAAGTTATTTTATGAAACTTTTTAGTTTTGCCAAAAAGGAACCATAAGCCATAAATGAGTAATGAGATAGTTCATTCTAGGACAAACATAAATTATAGATAACGACTTTAAATCAGCTTGTGAAAATAAAGTAACTCAAAATTTTTGTTTGGTTAAAATGAATATATCTATTTCACTTTGCCTATAATATAAGTTCAAAAATTCAAAGTTAGCAGGATTATAAATAATAATGCTTAGTTGACTTAGCAAAGATCGAAATCACTGATTTAATTAGATAAGTATTTATCTGAATAATTGCCGAATTTACGTAGTTTTATAAAATCAACAAATAAAAAAAAAAAAGGGGGACAGGTAGAAAATTTACATAGCTGATTTTTTAGAATCATTAATATTTATTGTCATAACTTTGAAAAGAGTTGCATCTTTAGAAGATTGAGTAAACGATAATAACTTCAAAAACTATATATACGTTCACCACGATTAAATGCGTTAATACCAGCGTAAATATCTTTATTACATGCTTATGAGAACCATGCTATACGATAAGTTTGATTTTATTTCCCTTTTGTTGTATCTCCAAATTAATATAGCAAAGATCTTTGGTTAAGCTACCACGCGGCCCCGTTACTTTAATAAAACGTGATTTGATTGTTATTGTAACACCTTTAGGTACAACAAGCTCTTCATCCTTGTAGATATCTTTCATCGTCTCGTTAAAAGTTCCTATTAAGATGTAAACCCTTTTGAGCTTTAGATATACCTATTCGAAATTGTATAAAGTTAAAAGTATTGAAACAATCAATAAATAATCAATATAAAAATAATCAACATAAAAATAATTAATCTATTGATGATGAATTGGGTGTTACTTTTGGCGATTTATAATTGTTAACTGTCAATTCTATCAATCCAATAAGTAGCTTGTTAACTTGGTCATTAATCACACACTTAAGAGTAAGGAAATATAGCATATTCTACATATTTCATTATTCTTAAGTCGATGATAAGTCAATTACAAATAAACTAACAATACTACTCACAAAAAGAATAACTTGCCTAACTTAGTTGTTCGAACATAACTATTACTATAATATTAGTCTTGTACTAATACATAATCAAGCGTAGTGTTTTAAATTAATCACCTTTTTTATCTACAAAAGTAATATTAAAAAGATATTAATATTAAGCGTTAAAACTTTTAAATTCATCTCTGAGTATACTCACGTTTCATAATATGGATTTGTATTTAGATTAGTAAAGAAGCTTTTTTCCACATTGAATTGTATTTTAATATATCCGGAAGTAACATGATGTCCACCAAAACCTTTTATTGTTTCTTGAAACCAATCTACTACAAATTCTGATTGCTCTGCTGTGTTCCTTTCTAAAGTTACAACAGGAGAAGAGCCTTTATTATCGATAGTATCTTGGTTTTTTTTTTTTTTTAAGTGCTTTTTTGGCTGCTTTTTTTGCAATTAGAGCATCTAATGCTGGAACTGAATCTTCAGTGGTCATTTGGATAAATAATACAACGTAAGAAACCTGATTGCACTTATAATGTCAAACACCTCAACATTGGTCACCCAATAATGAACTGAGAGTTTGATATGCATTGTAGTCTGAAAAAACACACTTATACGCTTTTTTGTTAACAAATATACATGTCACATGTTGCTTGAAAAGCCCCAAATATTGACCCTCTATACATGGAAATTTGATTACTTGTTTTCCAGTTTTTCGAAAAGTAAGAGGAAGCCGTTTGTGAATGGCATATACTAGCATTTTCTTCCATTCATTAATAGCGTTTTCAGACAAAAAATAATGTTGAAGAGGTGGTATTTTATAATTGCTATGAATAGCATTTTCATGTCATGAAAGCCCTGCTGAGGATTTGTACTTTTTTTTTTTACACAGAGTACATTCGAAAAGTCTACTATGAGTTGATCGAGACATTAAAAAGAGCTTTGCTTATTGTATAAAAAATATTATTAGTGTTTTATATATGTAGTAAGTTAAAATCTTGCTATAACCTCTATTTTCTTTACTTACTATACGTTTTGCACGATTCAGTTCATTGGCAATCTAGATGGGTTCATTGGTTTGACGCCAAAACTATATATAAAATTTTAATTTTTAGTGACCAAAATAAAATTTTAGGGCCTTTTTTGTGATTATCAATTATAATTTTGGGGTGCAAATTTTAGGTAAAATACACATATTGGCCGATATGTATAACTTATATTATAGATTTTATACTATATACTGTTCTTAGAACCCAACTATAGATGTTACCTATTTAAACTCTCTGTAATGTAACTCTATTTGTATCACTAGTATATCTTTGTTATATTAGTTAGTTAAAAAATTTCAGATTTTGTTTATTTTCTTAAAATTATTGGTATAATTAATTGCTTCATTTTTAAGGTATTGTTTATCAAAGCTTTCCATACTTACAATTTGGCTTACCTAAACTACAGTAACTTGTACCAAGTCTAAGAACAAGTATTTGTAAGCCAAAGCCACTACTGTTATCTAATTCTTCCCTTGTAGAGTTTACCCAAATTCTGATACTTACTTTACAAACTGTTAACCATATTTCTGATTATTTCAAACTCTTTATCCAGATAGTCTGAAAGGGTAATCTCTTCTCTGGTTGTCTGTTAGCTTGGTTGGTATTAGTGTTTACAAACATCTCAATCCTGTCTAGTTTTTTAATTCTTCAGATGATGATCCTTTATATAGTATTATTAAAGATCTGTATTACCTCTCTACTTAGATATTGCTAAATAAACTTTTATATTTTAATTCACTTATTTTATTTAGCAGCTTTACTTAGATTTTGTATAACTTATATATTATACTAATTTTTTGCTACTTCTCAGTATAAGCTGATGTAACTCTGTTACAGATATTAATCTAATAGGATACAGTTTTTCAAATATATTATGTAAATTTAAATTTTATCATT